TCTCAGTTTTGCTTGCTTGCACTGACTGCCTGGCCAAACTAGATCTAAATTGGTATTAGTCCAATGCTCAAGCCACACGTCCAAAGTTTTGGGAACAGTCACCCAAAGTTGGCTTTGGGGATGTCTTACCCTAGAGCCAATAGGGAGTGGAATGTAGCTGATGGAGAGGGCACTGGACATGTATGAACAATGTTCATTAAACCAACACTTACACTTGCTGTGGGGTTCCTGCTCTAGAAGGACTCTATGTTCCCAGAGGGCCAAGTACAGATGCTGTGGCTCATCTGTGCCAGCTATATATGAAGGAGCTTGATGAAGCTCTAGAGTACAGATCCCTACAAAGGAAGAAACTGAATTCTGGGAAGTTTAGTGGTAATCCAAAAACATGCCTACTCCCAGACTGATCAATCCTTTCTTTCTGCCAGAATTTTCAGACAATCTGTCTTCTATTAAATTCAGACAAAAGGGACCTCGTTTCTCTGACTTGGCTGGCCCTGCTTGCCAGCCCATGCCCCAGGCAGGCCTGCAGGAATAGCATTTGGGTCTGGAGCCTCCACCCTTAGCCAGGACTGGGCCCTTCCCTGCTCTATCAGTCCTGGAGCAAGAATCATCAGGAGGCTCCCTCCTGTGGAAAGAGTCTGAGAATGGGCACTGGTCTTTGGTCCTTGATTCCTCAGGTATATACTACAATAAAAGACCCTGGGGCCAGGTGAGGTGGCACATGCCTGTAATCCCAGTGGATCCAACCTCAGCAGAAAGCTAGATGCTAAGCAACTCAGTGAGACCCTGTCTCTAAATAAAATACAAAATAGAGTTGGGGATGTGGCTCAGTGGTTGAGTGCCCATGAGTTCAATCCCTGGTACCCCCCCCCCCCCAAAAAAAAAAAAAAAAGCCCTGGGATCCTAGGACCAGAGGAACATTTGAACCATGTGTTGGATTTGGTTTGAACTAGAACCAAAGTCTAAGCTTAAATCATATCAGCCTCAAGTAAACACTGGGACATTTGCCTTGGGTCTTACAGGGCTTGGACACCTCCTGGGATGACTGCCAACCAGGCAACAACCCAATTCTTTCCTTCCCAAATAGAAACTGAGCTCTACTCTGTGCTAACTATTAGGTGATGGTTGCAATTGAGGCCACGACAATTCAGTAGAGAAGACAAACCTTATCAGATAATTTTCCTGGATCCATGGGCCATGAGTCTAAGCAGAGGATGCGTTAAGGACTGAAGACTTAGGAGAGTTGAATGCACACTTTTGGCCTAAACAGCCTCAATTTCAGCCTCTTGATCAGTTCTCCTTAGGCCCATACCACATGGGGGCTTTGAGCAGCTTCTCCTGGGTATACACTAGACTTCACTCTTGCTTGCCCCTGTCCTCCTACTGGCTTAAATCTGAAACAGGGAGCCTGGCCTTGGATGGCCTAGGCCCTGTTGGGATTCCAAGGATGAGTTACTGGGGCACTTATGCGGAGCCTCAGGATGAGGCTGTGCAATTCCCAGGGAGGGGGAAAAAACTACGGGAAATAACTAGACCTTAATCTTACAACACCATCCAATCTAGAAAACCATGAAGACAGCTGTTCATCTCGCTTTCTACTTTGGTATGGGCTTCAGAGTAGTCTGGTTAGGTCCCCAATAGGCTGGCTCAACTTTGGCCAGTCAGCTTCCTGTCTTCTAGGGCATGAAGGAACATGGCATTTGGGGAACTCAAATCCAGACAAAAATGAAGGAAGACATCAGTGAGGCCAGAGCTTAGGCCAGAGCTTCTCTGGCCTAGGAGGAAAGAATGTAGGTGGGATGTGTCAAGTGTTGGAAGCCACCAATGAAATGTTTGTAAACCCAATAGGCATGGTAGCCAATGGGCAGGAAAGCCTGGTATCTGGGAACTCCCAGTGGCACTCCTGCTGGTTTGAGACCGCCCAATACATGTGACATTCCTATCTAGCTCTGCCACTGGTTCTGCATAGCACCAGAGATGGGGTGACCTGCTAGAGCCACATGGCCACAGTCTCTCAGAGGTGGGTGTGGCCTGCCAAGATGCCAATCAACCTGTTGACTGCAGGATGAGGAAGCAAGACTCCTCCCACTGAAACCTTATCTCTGTTTTTAATGTACTCTCCCTTGAAGAACCAAAGCCATTGTCTAGTTGTTTGATTGCAGCTCCTACCAGGACTGGAGGACCTATCTGGGGCTCTGCTTCCTCTTTATCTAATTTCTGTCTCTGTCTCTTATTCTCTACCAAATATTTCAGGCTTTCATGCTCAGTTTCCTCCTGAGCAGGAAATTGCCCTGTGATAATCCAGGCTGGAGGGCTGGTGGAAGGTGGAGGGCTGATGGAAGGAAAGCATCAACTCTAGCATGTTCATGAGCCCCAAAACTGGGGGAGGTAGGAAATGTGAAGGATTTGGCTGTTTTAAGAAAACTCTGCTTCATTGATTTTGCTCCTGGGACTAAGAAATATCTACCTTACGCTTGGGTATTGGCTAGTTATGGTAGAGTCACTCTCTTGCCCATAACTTTGAGGGTGCTTGGGCAAGGGGCACTGAGATCCTGGAGGTGAAAATAAGGCCTGATGCCTCGTCCAGCAACAGCAATATCATAAAGTACAAAAAGGAGCCATTTTGGTCTGTGGATGATCAGTATGGTCTGAAGAATGGCTTGCTACTTCTTTGCAAATGGCAATAATTGGGAAGCGTCTCTTCAAGCCCATGCTTATTCCTGTTTTTCTTTTTCTTTTTTTTTTTTTTTTTATGGTGCTGGGGATCAAACCCAGGGCCTGTGCATGCAAAGCGAGCACTTTACCAACTGAACTATATCCCAGACCCTATTTTTCATTTTGGAAAAACAGATATATAACTATGCAGTTGACACTGAAATACCCAACAGAACTTGGGGCTGCAAACTGTCTGGTGTATATTTAGGGGTGTGTGGCAGAATGGGGTGAATGAGAGAATATTTTTTCTTTTTATTTACTTATTTATTTTATCTGTCTATCTATTTATTTATTTTTTGGTACTGGGGATTAAACCCAGGGGAGCTCTGACATTAAGACATACACCCTGTTCTTTCTTTATCTTTGGTACTGGGGATTGAACTCAGGGGCACTCAACCACTGAGTCACATCCTCAGCCCTATTTTGTATTTTATTTAGAGACAGGATCCCACTGAGTTGTGAACTCAAGATCCTCCTGTCTCAGCCTCCAAAACTGCTGGGGTGACTGGTATGTACCACCATGGTCCCCAGTTCTTTATTTTTATTTTAAGACAGGGTCTTGCTAAGTTGCCAAAACTGATCTGCAATTTGCTTTGAATTTGCCATCCTCCTGCCTCAGCCTCCTGTGACACTGGGATTATACGCATGTGCCAACATGCCTGACCTAAATTTTATTTAGAAGACCAAATAATTTTCTGCATTCTTAGCCTATTAAAGCAGCAGAATTATAGAACTGGATCTGAGAGTCTATTAGCTGTTTAGTTTTTCCACCTAAGGAATGATTTGAGGATTTTTCTCTGGTTTTTAATTCCTTCCTCTTCTAGTCTCTGTGATGTTTAGAGATTACTCACTTAAGTACAGAGAACTGCAAACAGGTACTGTGTTTGGGAGGTGGGGCATTCCTTTCTGCTTTCTGAGTTTGCTTCTCTCAGACACTCTTGAGAAAAGGAAGAAAGGGAGCGCCAGAGCTGTCTGAGATTCAGGGAGGAACCCCAGGCAGGCAGCCACCAGTTCTGTGTTCAGAATTTGCTTGCTGAGAAGAGTGTGGGCCTGGAATTCCAGCCTGGACACAGGCCACGGAAAGAATGGTCCCCTTCAGGGCAGTATTGTGGGGGATGGGCAGAGAAAAGAGTCCACCACAGTTCCTATTACCAGACCCATCCACCTGTCAGATTAAATAACTGTCAAGTCCAGGCCTGTGATATCGAAGGCCAGAAGGTAACCACCCGCCTCTCCCCTCTTGGAGGAATAAGATTTCCGTGGGACCTTAGGTGTATAAAGAGCTACTTTAGGACTTTCCCCTCAAAGGGAAGACAGACCATAGCAGTAACCACCCGCCTCTCCCCTCTTCCCCATCCAAAGAATGCAGGCCACGGGGAATGAGTGACCCTTGCCAGCAGATTAGAGCTATTTCAGGCGCCTGAGGAGGAATTGGACTCTAGAGTTCCAGGCAGAAAGAAGGGACAAGGTTTAGGTCTGTTGCGCATATAGAGCTAACAGGTGGGCTAGCTTCCAGACCTTGGCCTCAGTTTCCCTATCAGTGTAAAGGCGCAGCAACAAGTCTTTATCCTTCGCAATTTGGAAGGCACTTTCTGAGTGTTTCCATGGCCTAGAAATACCTCTTTATTTTCCTTCGAGGGAATTTAGGAGTGCCGAAGGCAGTCGAGGGTGGCCAGTTGTGGCTGGGCTAGTTCGCGGCTCTGACCATTCTGGGCTAGTTTTTAATTTTTTGCGGTGCTTAGAGAAGGAATCCAGGGCCTCCTGAAAGCTAGACAAGCGCTTTACCATTGAGCTTCATTCCCAGCCATCTGCAGCATCCCTGCTCCCTTCCGTTAATCTTTAAGGCCCCAATTCCTGAGGTGGGGTAGGGTGCCCTTCCCCCATTCCCACTCCGGAGGGATCCAGGCCACCCGAATGGCAGGGCGTGTCCTAAGACTGACCTGGCAGGCCTCGGGGGAGGGGCTTCCATGGCTAGGTGTGGCTTCTTGGGTGGGGGCGTGGCGGGCCAATGAGTAGAGAGGCACGGCGGGGGCGGGGCCTGAGCACGGGTGCGGCGCGCTGCGGGGCGGCCGACGCTGGCAGAAGCGGGCGGCGCGCAGACGGCCACTCGGCGCCGCGCGGAACTGGTCGCCGATTGGCTGTGGCACTCGCGTGTCAGGCGGTTGCTAGGCTCCGGCCGCGCGCCCCGCCCTTGCGCTCGGCGCCCTCTCACGGCCCGGTACGTGCTCGCGCGGAGGCTGCGGCGCGGTTCTCGCGCTTCTTGGGTTCGGGGGCGGCAGCGGTGGCAGCTTGGTGCCGACTCCCTGGGGAGCGGCGACGGTGGCGTCTTGGGGCTAGTCGGAGCGATCACCTGCCTCCGCCCTCTTGCCACCGCTTGGTGAGTGCACCGCGGGTCCTCGCCACCTTGCCTGGCTTTTCGGCCCCCATCCCTGCTGCCGCTGAGCAAGCCTTCCGTGGAACACCTGCTGCTGCTCGATTTCGGACCGGGGCGGAGACACAGCTACGGACGTCCTTGCGGGTGAGGAGGTGGCGCTGCCTGGTTGGAGCCGCCCCTCTGTTCCCGGTCCTGCTGGCAAGGGCTTGAAGCGTTCGGCGGCGAGGCCTTGGTATCGCGCAGCGGTGATGGGCCAGGCCTTAGCTCGGCCCGCGCTCCTGGGAACACTGGGCCTTCGCGTTTGCCGCTGGTTTGTGCGGCCTGCGGGTGGCCTCCGGGGTTCCAGTGGGGGTTGCAGCCCAAGGACTGGGGCGTTGAGCTGGGAAGGGTGCCGCCCCCGCCTCGCAGTCAGAGGTGCTCAGAGCCTTGGGGGTCCCTCCCACTCGGTTGAGTTGTTTTTGGAATCCTACTTTCTATCTTTTCACTTGGTATTTGAAAGACCAGGTTCACTGGATAGTATATTTGGGAGATGTCCCCAGAGGAAATGCTGTCTCAGAATCCTTTTGCCATGAATCCCAAGTTAATTTCTCTTACAAACAAAACTGCTAATTATAAATGCAACTTTTTTCCGACCCCAGTTTCAAAAGAAAAAGAAAAAATGCAACTTTTGATCTCTTCACCTTAAGATGGTTTTAGATTTGTAAATTGAGTTACTGCAGGATTGGTTTTAATGGTAAAGATGAATTTTGACTGGTCTGGTTAGAGTTTGAGCCAGTATCTTTATAGCCTAGGGTTTTAACTTGAGCCTCTGGCCTGCTGTTTCCCTAAATAAGTCGTTCCTGGCATGGAAGCCAGATTCCTTGAAGTGAGGTTGGTGTTTATAGGACATAAATCCAGATAAAGAGTTGAATGTGCTTCCAGGTGTTTTGGAAAGTCTGGTGTAGATGGGGTATTATAATTTTATTAGGTTGTGCTATGCTTAGTGTTCAGAGACATGATAATTTTGGAATGTTCCGGTTCTAAAAAAGAATTCGACCTTAATACATTTGGAGGCATAAAAATCCATAGTTTGAATATGGAGGATTGAATTTTTTTTTTTTTTTGGCCTGGAAGCCAAGGAAGTCTCGTAGCATGCATACTTTACAGGAGTCTAAGGAAGTGTTTCTTGGAGGAATAAGATTTCCGTGGGACCTTAGGTGTATATAGTGTGTGAGCTTACTGTGGGATACTGTGTAAAGATAGGAGTGAGCAGTGCTATATAGATAAAAAACACGTGATTGGAACATTAAAGCTTGTGTTAATACGTGCCTCTGTTGATGAGCATAGGGCAAGTCCTAACTCTTTTAAAAAACTGATTTGTCAAAATGCCTTCATTCATTTAGCAAATATTTGGCTTCACTACTTGCCAGATTCTGTGTAGATCCTGGGCACCCACATAAAAGTGTCTGATTCTGCCTTCAAGGAACTCAGTTTGGGGAGCAGTGGGAATCAGACTACCCGTGGTTCACAATGACTACCCAGCACTCCTGTAATACCAATAGCTTGGGAGGCTGAGGCAGGAGCATCACAACTTCAGGGCCAGCCTCAGCAACTTAATGAGGCAATTTATTATTATTTATTTATTTATTTTTAAATTTTTAATATTTATTTTTCAGTTTTCGGTGGACACAACATCTTTATTTTATTTTTATGTGGTGCTGAGGATTGAACCCAGTGCCCCGCACATGCCAGGCGAGCGCGTTACCGCTTGAGCCACCTCCCCAGCCCCTTAATGAGGCAATTTAGTGAGACCCTATTTCAAAATAAAAAATAAAAAGGGCTGGGATGTGGCCCGTTGGTGAAGTGACTTAGGTTCAATCTCCAGTACCAAAAAAAAAAAAAGTGACTGATCACAAAATATGCTTACTTGATAGCCTGAAGAGAGAGGGAATTCCTGAGCTGTGGCCTTCAGGGCCTGCAAGAATTAGTGGGGGACATCAGGGTCTGGACATAGGGAACCACATGTATATAGGCACCTAAAATAGTGCCTGGGAGTCTTCCAGCTTGACAGGTGTGAGCTCTGGGCCCTCCTTGTTTAGGAGTTCCAACTTCATACTCAGGATGCGGCAACCTTTTAATCAGTGAAGTGGCATAATCCAGATCAGTGTTTAGAAAGATATTGCTGGTGGCCACTTAAGGAGTGGCAGGGAGGAGGTCAGGACCTCTGGCATTAAAGTCATCCAACAGAAGAGAGAGGAGTGGGGAGGAGCCATTTAAGAACAGAGGCTGAAAAGGTAGGCAGAGGGAGGAGGCTGCATTCAGGAATGTATGGGCAGGAAGTCTAAGCATGACCAAGGGATTTAAACTACTTTTCTTTTTTTTTTTTAATATTTATTCTTAAGTTTTAGGTGGATACAATATTTTCATTTTGCATATATGTGGTGCTGAGGATTGAACCCAGTGGCTCGTGCATGCTAGGTGAGCACTCTACCACTGAGCCACAACACCAGCCCTTTAAAACTACTTTTCAAGACTGGGGGCATAGCTTGCCCAGCATGTGGGAGGTCTTTAGGTTCAAACCCAGCACCAAAAAACAAGAACAGCTCTTTACTTCTGGATGGGGTGACTCACAAACTGCTGGTTTCTGTTAAGCACTGAGAATAGTTGGGTTTGGAGGGGCCCTTGGTGGGGTACTTAGAATGGAGTTGTTACATAGGATTTAACATTTCATTGTTAAAAAACTTCCCTCCTGCCACGTGTGGTAGCATACGCCTGTAATCCCGGTTCTCATAATCCCAGTGTCTGGGAAGGCTGAGGCAGGAGGATCACTAGTTTGAGGCCAGCCTCAGCAATTCAGAGAGACTGTCTCAAAAAAATAAAAAAAGTCTGGGGATGTAACCAGGGGTAAAGTGCCCCTGAGTTCAGTCCCTAGTATCAGAAAACAAAACCCGGAGCTGGGGATGTGGCTCAAGCGGTAGTGCGCTCGCCTGGCATGCGTGCGGCCTGGGTTCAATCCTCAGCACCACATACAAAGATGTTGTGCCCACCGAAAACTAAAAAAAAATCTCTCTCTCTCAATAAATAAATAAATAAAATAAAACCCAAACACCTTACCTCCTACTTGTACCTAGGACATTGTATTTTCTATGAGGCACAGCAGGTGTCTTAACATCTGTGAGTAAGATGTTCACCCTTGTTGAAACAGATTTTTTGGGGGGGATTGAATTCAGGGGCACTCGACCACTGAGCCACATCCCCAGCCCTATTTTGCATTTTTTATTTAGAGTCAGGGACTCAGGTTACTTAGCCCTTCACCATAGCTAAAGCTGGCTTTGAACTCTGGATCCTCCTTCCTCAGGCTCCTGAGCCTCTGGGATTACAGGTGTGCATCACTGGCTGAGGCAGATGTTTTTTACCTCACAGTTGTGGCGTCTCAGCTCTCTAGATGTGATGGACTTAATATGAAGTTGCAATTGAGGGCCTTCAGTGCACATTCTGATGCTTATGAGAAACCTTTATACTGACTGAGGAAAATGAAACATACAACAAATAATATACCCAGGATCATACAGGTATTGTGTGGCAGTCAGGATTTCAACCCAGGTCGAACATTTAGCTGTCTATACCCATCTGCATTTGTATTGCATCACATTGGTAATGATGCCCTTCATCTCTGATGAAGAATCAAGCGTAGGTATCTAGTGGTAGGTATAAGACAGGATGATGTAGGAAATGTGATAAGGGAACCCATGTGGTAGACTTGGGGGAACATGTTGTGAGGGACCATTCTCAGAAACCAGGGCTTGGCAGAGTCTTGGGCCACATTCTGGTTGTTCCTAGGACTATGTTGAAGGAAGCCAAGTAGCTTGGGTTCTATGATGGAATGTATGGGCATACTTTAGGGGAGGACTGTGTTTGAGTTAGACCTTTAGGAAGGGTATTGGTTTGATTGGTGAAGGAGCAGTGGCAAGGAGGTCAGAACTTTGTGGTAGAAAAGAGGTTAGCAGAAGAAAGTGTTGGGGGAGAGAGGGCTGGGCACCTTTGTTGGGTATTCTGGAAGGCTGGAAATTACAGTTATGCAGGAATGGGCAGTTTTGAAGGTCTTAGAGCACAGCTGTGGTGGGATCTACTGGTTTTAAAAATGTTAGTCTCCAGTGTAAGTGCAGAGGCTGGACTGAAATGGAGGCTAATTGGTCACTGTTGTGGTCCATTGAGGAGATAGTGGATCTGAACAAGGACAGTGGTCAGCAGTGAGGTGGAGATAAAGAGGTTCAAGACAGTGAGTCATGTAGATTTCAGGGGCCTACTAGTGAGTGGAAGGGCAGGAGATGACAGAAGAGAAGGATGTGTGACAACATCAGCTATGTGCTGGTGAGAACTTGAGTGACTTAGAATAAGAGGGGCCCACTAGATTGCATGAAGAGAAGAGAGGAGTGCTTGAGTCTGGCAGGGAAGATGAAGGGATGAGGGGCTATCCTTTTGTAGTGCTAGGGATTGAACCCAGGGCCTCATGTATACTAGTGTTCTACCACTGAGCTACACTCCCAGTCCCCCATAGTGTTTTTTTTTTTTTTTTTAATTCTGGGGATTGAGCCCAGGGGCATTTAACCACTGAGCCACATCCCCAGCCCATTTTGTTTTGAGACTAGGTCTTGCTCAGTTGCTTAGGACCTCAATAAGTTGCTGAGCCTGGCCTTGAACTTGTGATCCTCCTGCCTCAGTCTCCTGAGCTTTTGGAATTACAGGTGTGTGCCACTATGCCAGGCTCTATCCTTATTCTTTTTTGGGGGGTTACCAGGGATTGAACTCAGAGGCACTTGACCATTGAGCCACATCCCTAGCCCTAATTTGTATTTTATTTAGAGACAGGGTCTCACTGAGTTGCTTAGCACCTCGCTTTTTGCTGAGGCTAGCTTTGAACTCATGATCCTCCTGTCTCCGCCTCTGGAACTGCTGGGATTACAGGTATGCGCCACAGTGCCCGGCCTCTACCCCTATTCTTTAAGATAGCTGTCATCATCTTTTGCTCATTTAAATAATGGTGCGAAGTTTGATTAAACATCCAGATTCCCTTATGTGCCATTTAGATTTGAGCAGTTGCAGACTGTGACTGCTTTCAGGCTACAGCCTTCAGAGTGTCACAGAAAATTAAAAATGGTATGAACATTAGGACCCAGATGAGGACTGAAAAGAGAATATTGAACTTCAAAGGAACTCAAAAGTGGTAATTAATTAATACTATGTTTTTCCATGTGCACCTTCAAGTCTTTTCCCCTTTTTTTCAGGAATTAGTTTTCTCCTTTCATTTAAATAGCATATCTAGGGGCTGGGATTATGGCTTAGCGGTGGAGTGCTTGCCTAGCACAGAAGGGACCCGGGTTCGATCCTCAGCACCACATAAAAATAAAGGCATTGTGTTGGGTCCATCTACACCTAAAAAATAAATATTAAAAAAAATAGCATATATATGCCTTTCTATTTGTTATGCTTTTGCAGTTTTTTTTTTTTTTTTCTTTTGGTACTGGGGATTGAACCCACATGTGCTGTACCACTGAGTTATATCATTCCCAGCCTTTTTTGTTTTATTTTATTTATTTTTATTTTTTATTTTGAGACATGGTTTCACTAAGTTGCTGAGGGTGGCCTCAAGCTGTGGTCCTCCTGCTTCAGCCTCCTGGATAGCTGGAATTACAGGTGTGCGCCATTGTGATTATTGTGCCTTTGCTTCTTAATCCCCCTTCTTTTGCCTTTCCCTCATTGACATTGCAGGCCTGGAATAAGGTGGTGGTGAATAAATTAATGATCATTTCACAATAGGTCTTTGTCCATACCTTTGGGCATTAAGGCAGTTTTTCTTAGAGTCACACAACTTGCTTTGCCTCTTGATCATCTCTCTTCACTCTGATCATTAGTCAGTAATACTGCTCAAATAGCAATTTCTATAAATAGGGACTTAGAGTAGTTTACAAAATTACACCAGCCAGAAGGCTTAATTTAGCCTTAATGAAAAGGCTTTCCTGTTTTTCTATTTCTTTGATTTGATAGTGAAGGATTTTCTTACAGGATCATAAATTGAGGATGGCAAAGTTAGTGAAGCCAATCTGTAATAAAATTTGGATGAAACGAGATAAAATTTGGATGAAGCTTTAGTAGTATGCTGAATACACACACACACTCTCTCTCTCTCTCTCTCTCTCTCTCTCTCTCTCTCTCATTTTGGCTGTACTGGGGATTAAACTCAGAGGTGCTCTACCACTGAGCTATATCCCCAGCCCTTTTTATTTTTTATTTTGATGCAGGGTCTCACTAAGTTGTCCAGGCTGGCCTTGAAATTGCAGTCCTCCTGCCTTGGCCTCCTGAATTGCTGGAATTACAGGTATGTGCCACTGCACCTGGAGGGAGAACTGAATATCTTTATATTACATGTCAGGAGGTACATTTAATAGTGTTGAGGCTGTTTCTCAATTACACCTTTTTTTTTTTTTTTGTACGGAGAGTAAACCTAAGGGTTTAATGCCAAAGAACTACATCCCCAACACTTTTTTTATTTTTTAGCACTAGCAGGTTAAACCCAGGGGCACTTAACTACTGAGCCACTTTCCTAGCCCTTTTTAAAAAAGTTTTTTTGAGACAGAGCCTCACTAATTTGCTGATACTGACCTTGAATTTAGAATTCTCCTGCCTGAGCCTCCTGGGTTGCTGGTGGTGCATACCAGGCATTTGCTCTGTTTATTTTTGTGACAATGTCTTGTTAAGTTGCCCAGGCTGGCCTTGAATTTGTGACCCTCCTGCCTCAGCTTCCTAAGTGACTGTGATTATAGGTGTGCACCATTGAGCCTGGTTAGGTTATAACTTCTTAAGCTAATTGTTTTGGCGATTGAAAGCTTTTTTTTTTTTTTGTACTGATGATCAAACCCAGGATTTCATGAATGTTAGGCAAGCACTCTACCACTGAGTCACATCCCCAACCCTTTTTATGTTTTTTTTTTTTAAAGAGAGAATTTTAATATTTATTTTTTAGTTTTTGGTGGACACAACATCTTTGTTTGTATGTGGTGCTGAGAATTGAACCCGGGCCGCACGCATGCCAGGCGAGCGTGCTACCGCTTGAGCCACATCCCCAGCCCCCTTTTTATGTTTTTTGAGATAGTATCCTGCTAAGTTGTTTAGGGCCTTGTTAAGTTGCTGAGACTGAGTTTGAACTTGAGATCCTACTGCCTCAGCCTTCCAAGCAGCTGTACCCATGCTCGGCTTGAAAGCTAGTTGTTTTTTATTTTTTATTTATTTATTTTTTTGAATTTTTAATATTTATTTATTTTTAGTTATCGGCGGACACAACATCTTTGTTTGTATGTGGTGCTGAGGATCGAACCCGGGCCGCACGCATGCCAGGCGAGCGCGCTACCACTTGAGCCACATCCCCAGCCCGACTAGTTGTTTTTTAAAATATCGCTGTCTAGTAGTTCCAGCACTTACGATGGGAAGTGGATAGAATCACTTGAGCTTACATGTTTAAGATGAGCTTAGGCAACATAAACAACACTCTGTCTCAAAAAAAAAAAAAGAAAGAAAGAAAGAAAAAGAATGGAAAAATAACATTGTTTAAAACACATTGGGAAATAAATAAATTAAAAAAAAAGAATTGAGGGGGGGAAATAAATAAATAAATAAAACATATTGGCATAGCACACTGTAATCGCAGTTAAGGTTAGCCTTGGCAACTTTGGGAGACCCTGTCTCATATGTAGCTCTGTTATATAGCTTGCCTGGGTTCAATCCCAAGTTATTGGGATAAAACAGGAATTAATTTATATCTTTGAAACTTCATATTTTTAGTCTTGAAAGGATTGTTCAGAAAACATTTTTCTTAGAATTATGACCTTTGACAAAGAAGTGTGACTAATTGGTATAGTCAGGACACTGAAGTAACATTTCCTTCTTTTGGTGGTGTTCAGTGGTGTAATTCTGTTTTGGTTGTGGGCATTCACCAATATTGCTTTCTTCTTTTCCTGCAGGGCCTCTGCTCTCCAGGAAGATAAAAGTTTTTAAAGCTGCCTAGCACTAGGAGGTGAGGTAAGATATTTGGAAAAAAAAAAAAAAGATATTTCTGCAAAACATGATGGATAATCATGTACTTGGCAAAATGATTAGTCACAGACTTTTAAAACAGTAATAGTGGGGAGAAAACTCTGTTAAATAATATGTATATATAGAGCTACATTCCCAGACTTATTTTTTTACTTTTGTGCTGAGGATTGAACTCAAGGATATTTAATCACTGACCTACATATGCAGCTGCCTCCCCCTTTAAAAAAAAAAAAAATATATATATATATATATATATATATATATTTTACAAACTTTTGAGATTTTATTTCTTATGAAATTTGAATTTTCTTTTATTTGTTCTAATTTGTTATACATGACAATAGAAATACATTTTTTTTACATATGATACGTAAATGAAGTATAACTTCTCATTCTTCTGGTTGGACATCATGTAGAATCACACCAGTTGTATAATCATATGTGTACATAGGGTAATATTGAGACAGGGTCTCACTGAGTTGCTTAGGGCCTCACTAAGTTGCTGAGGCTGGCCTTGAACTTGCAGTCCTCCTGCTTTAGCCTCCTGAGTTGCTGGGATTTCAGGAGTGTGCCACCATACCCAGCCAGACTTTTTCTTTTCTTTCTTTCTTTCTTTTTAAATTTTTTTTAGGTTGTAGATGGATAAATACCTTTATTTTATTGATTCACCTTTTTTATGTGGTGCTGAAGATTGAACCCAGTGCCCCACACGTGTAAGACAAGCACTCCACCGCTGAGCCATAATCCCAGCCCCGACTTTTTATTTTATTAAATAGGAAATACAGGGCTGGGGTTGTGGCTCAGTGGTATAGTGCTCGCTTAGCACTGGATTCAATCCTCAGCACCACAATAAAAATGAAATAAAGATATTATGTGTCTAACTATAACTAAAAAATAAATATTTAGGAAAAAAATAGGAAATGCAACACATGGTACAAACTTAAAAGGTACAGAAGGATTATACAAGAAAAATTTTTTTTCTTCCACCCATCCCTTTAACTTCCAATTCTCCTTCCTAAAGGGGTATGATTTTTTTAATTTCTTTTTTTGGGAGGGGGTTACCAGGGATTGAACTCGGGATACTCGACCACTGAGCCACATCTGCAGCCCTATTTTTTATTTTATTTAGAAACAGGGTCTCACTGACTTGCAAACTGCCTTGCTTATGCTGAGGCCGTCTTTGAACTTGTGATCCTCCTACCTCAGCCTCCTGAGCTGCTGGGATTACAGGCATGTGCCACTGTGCCCTCTGATTTTTTATTTTTATAGTCACATAGAGACTGAGTCTCAGTGTTGCCTGCCGTTGGGGACATGTGCACAGATCCATTCTTCTTGAGGCAGTTACGGCCTTTAGGGGAGTGTACCAGTTGAAGGAGAGCTCAAGGACAAGTGAAACACTGGAAGGATCTATTATATTCAGGGAAGCAGTAGCCAGTGCCCAGCTTGGTTCCATATTTTGGTGTTTGCTTTTCATTTCTATGGAAGTTGTTTTTGTACATGAAGTGTGGGAAATTCCTTTTACAGAATTCTTTGTACTAATTGATACATATGCATTGAAACTGAATAATGGAATTTGAAAACATTCTTCTTGTTTGATTTTGCAAGTATTCTGGTTATCTCTGTTTTTGCCTCTTCACTGTGCAGGAAGTATCTTCCACCTCCAGGCATCCCAGAGGTTGACAGGGGATTGCTTAAGATTCCAAGGTTATCTAGGGCAGAAATGAACCAGTTCTGTCTTGGTTGTCATAAATACCTTTCTTAATTAGTTCTACTGTTTTTCAGGTCTGGGTTGATTCTGTAGCTAGTTTTTTTTTTTTTGTTGTTGTTGTTGTTGATAGACCTTTATTTTATTTATGTATTTATACGTGGTACTGAGAATTGAACCCTGAGTCTCACACATGCCAGGTAAGTGCAGTACCACTGAGCCACAGCCACAGCCCCTCTCAAGCCAGTTTTTGCCAAGAAAAATGCTGTAGCCAATGATGGAATTCTAAATAGCATTTCCTTTTTATTTGGATATTAATCAGATCCTGGGACACCATCCATTTTGGGGGCCTTGATTTCACTATGGAATATTTCCATAAGCATTAATCTTATTACTATAAATGTCCTGTGCCTACTACTTCTTGGGATGGTAGATTGTCTTTGCACTCAGATCCACCTTGACCTCAGGCAGACTTGTTTACTGCAAGTTTTTTTTTTTTTTTAAATAACTTCATTTTGGTTATTGTCCCAAGTCTAGTGGCTACCTCTGGTGATGGCCTTTTTTTTTTTTTCTTTTTTTGGTAGTTGTAGATGGACACAATGCTTTTATTTTATTTGTTTATTTTTATGTGGTGCTGAGGATTGAACCCAGTGCCTCACGCCTGCCAGCTCCGACACTGAGCTACAGCCCCAGCCCCTGCAGTTTTTTTATAGTGGAGTAATTTGCTGAATGGCTCTTGAATAGGGTAGACTCTGGGTCTAGGGAAAAATAAGGATGCGAGGTATGATTGATATATATATATATATTTTATGTACGTGTGTGTGTGTGTGTGTGTGTGTGTGTTTTGGATAGTACTGGGAATTGAACCCAGGATGCTGTCGCACTGAAGTATGTCTCCAGCCCTTTCTATTTTTTACTTTGAGACAAAGTAAAAAAAAAAAAAAAAGTAAATAGTAAAAAAAAAAGCTCTTTGATTCTCTTACTAAGTTGCTGAGGCTGGCCTTGAACTTGAGATCCTCCTGTCTCAGCTTCCTGAATAACTGGGATTATACACTTGTGCCACCATGCCTAACTGAAAAGTATCCTTTATATTTTTAGACTTTTAAGCAATATTGGAAAGATTGAGTTGACTGGAGAAATTTAGTAGGAGGAGACTAGAACAGCAACTCTTTATTAAAGATCTAAAAATAGATTTCATTAAAGTCATAAATAGATAACAGTAGGATTCCTGTTTCACTCTTTGCTGCTCTGGGTTTGTGCTACTAGATTTGCTTCTGCTTACTTGCACCACCGCATCTGAATATTTTCTTGGAAGATTCAGTAATATACACCTAAAACACTGAGTTTACCAGTCTGAAAATATTTGGTTTCAAAAAAGTGATTTAGAAAGTGACTGGAGTCCTTGGTGTAGGGAAAAAATCCTTAGCAGAAGTTGATTTTTTTGCTTGCAGTGCCAGCCTTGAGCTGACAGGGCCTGTAGAGAGTTCCCTAGCTTCTCAAAGCCCTGAGATTTTTTTCTCTTCTAGTTGGATATTGCTGATGAGAGGAATCTCCTGTGTGTGCCATCTAAGCTACCTGATTCAATCAGATGCACCTTAGGTCACCCTTCTATTTTGGGTGGGGGAGGTGGGGTCTCCTTTTGGTTCTAACATTTGGAAAAGATGATAACTTTCTTCCTGTGTAGGCGTTATATGCCCCAGGCTGCCTGTGCCCTTTATCTCTGTGTGAGGAGGCGGAGGAATGTCCTGGCCTCCCTTCTTCCATCCTGCTATGGGCTTCTAGGGAGAATGGGGCCCATTGTGATTTCAGTGTCAGTTCTGTGCTGTGGCCTCTCTGTCCGGTCTGCTTTGGTCATTGGGTGAGGAAATAGGAGACCAGCAAGTTGTTGCTTCTTAACATGCTGCCCTGTTGTGTAGGAGTGTTCTGGAGGATGATACTTGTAATTTGTTTGCTCTCTGATTTTTGTAATGTCCCCCCCCCCCACCCCTTCTTATGCTGCCGCTGGGTGGTATTGAATTTAGGGCCTCAGCCAGATAAAGTGTTGGTGAGCAGGTGAGCACTTTATTGCTCCCAACCCCTCATTTAAAAATTTTTTTTGGTACTGGGATTTAACCTAGGGTGCTTTACCCTATATACCCAGCCTTTTTATTTTTTATTTTGAGACAGATTCTTACTAAGTTGCTTAGGGCCTCACTAAGTTGTTGAGACTGACCTCAAACTTTAGATCCTTCTGTCGCCTCAACCTCCTGAGTTGCTGGGATTACAGATGGGCACCACTATGCCCAGCAATGGGTTAAATTTAGTATGGAAGGTGTGAACCTTACTCCAAGTAGTCAGCATTTTCCTTAGAAACTTGAAACCTGAACTATTTGGAGCTTCCTGACTCTTTGAGGGACAAATTCAGCGCAGAGCATTTTGGTGAGCCTCAGGGTGTAAGGAGGACAAGGATACAGACACCAGTGTCTAACTTCTGAGTAGAGAATTGTTGTTCTAAAGGATGAAAATTAGGTTTTAGCCTCTAGGTGATGAAGGTACCATATTTTCTGATTTCATGTTGGGAGGAACTGGGATCTGATTTCCCTGTGAAGACTCCAGATGAATTCCAGATAGTGGGAGATGTTTAATCTCTTGACTTTTGTGCCTAGGAGGGTAGAACTTATTGATTTTTATCAGATAAAAGAATCATATATACCACTGGAGAGGGACTAATAATAAGCTCTAAATGCCCTCTCTAACTCCTCTGATAGGAGAGGTGGGGCAGAACCAAACTGGCAGGGGAGAGAAGTCCATTGTATTGGAGCTGAGTAGGTTCCCAGTAGAAACAGAATTAATCTCTGTGTGGAAGTAAGTCCATTTTTACCATAGGTACTACAATCCAGATTCCTTATTATTGTGAAGAGATTATTGACTTTGGTGGTTTTATTAGCTTCACATGTGGGGTGGAGAAAGCAAAACACCCAGTGGTGTATATAGTGATGTCCATTCTAGTCTGCTGGTATAATCTTTGTCCTAATGTGTTCTGTGTGTATCTAAGCATAGAAATTCACAATCATGATGCTGGGCGTGGTGATGCACGCCTGTAATGACAGCTGCTCAGGAGGATTGCAAGTTCAAAGCCAGCCTCAGCAATTTAGTGAGGCCCTAGGCAATTTAGGGAGATCCTGTTTTTTTTTTTTTTCTTTTCTTTTTTTTTTTAAGAGAGAGAGAGAGAGAATTTTAATATTTATTTTTTTAAATTTTCGGCGGACACAACATCTTTGTATGTGGTGTCGAGAATCGA